AAAACCCATCTCTACCAAAAATACAAAAAAATTAGCCAGGCATGGTAGCATGCACCTGTAGTCCCAGCTATTCAGGGGGCTGAGGTGGGAGGATTGCTTGGACCCAGGAGATGGAGGTGGCAATGAGCTGAGATCATGCCTCTGTACTCCAGCCTGGGCACAAGATCCTGTTTGGAAAAAAATAAAAAATAAAATAAAGTAAAATGTTTTATTTGTGGCTGGGCACAGTGGCTCATGCCTCTAATCCCAGAACTTTGGGAGGCTGAAGTAGGAGGGTTGCTTGAGGCTGGGAGTTCAAGACCATCCCAGGCAACACAATAATTTTTTTCTTAACACTTGGAAGAAATTGCCCCCATTTTCCTCGGTCTTCCTGGGTTTTGATGAGGAAGCCGTTTTTATTTTCATATCTTTGTATGCCACCAGTCATTTTTTTTCTCTGAAAGATTTAGATCTCTTTTCTTGGGCCTAATATTCTCAAATATCATGACTGTGCCAGTCTTTTGCCTTCCGTTGTGGTGAGCAGTCTTCATTCTGGAGACTTGGATCTTTCAGTTCTAAATACTTTTGATTTAGTCTTTGGTGGTTTCCTTCCCTACCATGTTCTGTTCTTAATGGGCCTTCTATTATTTAGGTGTTCTATTTTAAGGGAGATTTTCTTAACTTTCTCTTCCCATTTATTCTATTGTGTTTTAAAAGTTTTCAATGTTGCTGTTTATATATCAAAGCATCCTGTTTTTGTTACTTGGATTGGATTTATTTCCTTAGATCATTCATTTGAATCACACTGAAGTTTTATTCAGCATGCTGCATTATCTTTATTTCTTTTGTTCATTTATAATTTGGTCTCTATTTCATATTGTAAGCATGCCTTGAGGACAAACAGCCTTGCTAGTTGTTACGCCTCCTGCCATTTGCAGGTGCTTAAATTTGACCTTCATTCTGTCTATTGCATCATCTTCTGATGCCCCATTCACTTTCCATCTTGTAAACCAAAAACAAAATTCTAACCACTCCCCCTAGTCAACTGAATGGACCCCTCCTCTCAGTGAAGGGCATTCTAAAGTTAACCTGA